GTAAACATTTTTACACATATCTGCTTTAATTTTTTTTTCTTAAACAATTGCATGTTTATTCATATACTACTGTCAAAATAACAAGTATGCTAGAGAAAATAAGGTCGTACCCTATCCCAAACGAGACCCGATATCATTCAACAAACACATCAGACTCTCGATCGCCACCTCGTACTGATATGTATATGCTTGATTGATTGATTGATTGATTGTTTCTTGCTTAACATCTAGTGGCAAATACTTTCTTGAAAAATCAGGACGACTGAATGTAATGGGAGTCTGAGAATGGTATAGGGGCCAATATGTAATAAATGCCTCCCATACCCGTATGTCTATGAGGATATTGCCTTCTTTACATGTACATAACTATAAAGATGATATGAAATTTCTTCTGTATCTGTGAATTATAGCATTTATGGCTTCAGTTTGTGTCACGTGACTGTCATATTTACCACATCTATATGCAGAAAACTGGCTGATAAAATTCGTAAACATACACGCTCGTGACACCAATGTATATAGCAATGACACCGATGGATATAGGAGTGAATAATTTTTACGTTACTAGCAAATGTACGTAACATGCCCATGACGCTAAATATCTACATAAATGTTAGTACTTTTCAAGTTACTTGCCCGTAACACTAATATATGTGGAACACTTTTAACATTATTTGCCTCCGACACCAATACCAAACATAACGACTATAAACACGTTTATTTAGCTTTATTTCTCATTATTTATTATATTCTGAGGCAGAGTTGTATTAGTTTCGGAGAAAGCTATTTCATGTCTGACCATTCATTAACGGTTTATGAGAAATGTTTCAATGATCTAAGGCTAGACATAGGTCCAAATTATAGTACTCATCACAACAGTTTTAATCGTAATAAATCTTCCCTCATTTATCACAAAACACTTTATAAATCAACAAACGCAAATAATAAGAAAATGAAATTCTCTTTATATGATAAATGGGGGCCGTATTTAATTGATACAGTTCCTTTAATAAAACCGTCTAGCTGGGATGGTACAATACTCATTTATCAATACTAACAAATCAAATTCAATGTAACTATTCGTATAAACGAATTAATGGAATTAAGAAAATATAGATGAGTTACTGTTTCTGATATTGAGGATTTGACATTGCTTATTTCATAGCCCTCTTGTGCACTATTACCATGTGTTACGATAGAAAAAAGCCAGACAGAAGAGAATCGGCATGTAGTTAAGTGAATATTAAGTTGGTTCCTTTGACCATGGAAGTATTATATTGACTAATACTTCCATGCTTTGACGTTAGGGAGCCTTAATGACCACCAATTGAGTTATTTTATCAATGTCATTTACGTTTAAGTATTGGTCATTAATATGTGGAAACAGTATGGATCCACTATTAAAAAAACACTGCTACGGTTCCTGTAAGCAACAAGTAGCAACGCAGTGCGTTTCAATTCACAACATATATAATTAGTAAATATGACTTTTTTGCATGTTGTTTGGAAGATTCTATCAAAGTGTGATTAAAACGAAGAGCCTTGTAGTAACTTTGTTCTTTAGGTCAATCATGGAAGTAATATAGTCAATATAATAATTCCATGGGTTAATGTACGTTACACACGCGATGATGGTTCATTCTTTTCGCATGAACCGGTCAAATTTGCTGCCCCCCTCCAATGACAAAATTACTGTGTAACGAGAAGATAAGTTGAATATAAAGTGTTGAAGGTCAAGAACTCAAGAACTATTGTATATGTAACATAGATGAAATATCTTTATTTCAAACATATTTAATTAAAGACACCTTGCATATCAGGATTATATGCTTAAAATCCAGTGGCCTATATTATAGATAAATAATCGGTCGACATAAGTAAAAAGCGACGAATGTAGCATGTGCTATGTAAATCAATTTTCTTCTTTTTGTATCCAAATTATGGATTGGAACACGAAAAAAGAAGTGTAAACTATAAACATGCTATTGTTATCCGGAACCTTTCTATTTTTTCCCTGTTCCAAGATTGTTAGTACATTTATGCTAACATGCACAATATTCAACGCGGAACTTCTGAGAGCTTTTCTGTGTAGGTTAACTATGTAAGTCATTTAAGTCAGCTGAATGACCGAAAATAATAAATCAATTTATATACACATTTATAAATTGAGTATCGTATAAGAATATTGAAGAATTGTTCATACATACATTGTATAAAAGAAATTGTTTTAATGTTATTAATATAATTGTTCTACAAATACTATAACTAGTAACTGAACTATTTTGCCATCATGCTTGGTGAGAATGAGGTTTATCCCCGAATTGAATTCACCATGAGCAACATGACGGGTGCCACTATTGGAGCAGAATATACTTGCCCTTTAGAAATCACCCCTATTTTGAATGGGGTACGTGTTGTTCAGTCTTAAGTTTACTATGTAGTGATTTTTTGGGTTTTTTTTTTTTGTCTTTTCGTCGTCATTCGTTATTTGCCATGATGTCGTCAGTTTCACTCCGAGTTAAGAGTTTTGAATCTGCCTTTGCTCTCATCTGCCTCTTCTTTACCACCAAATTAAGATCAAATTGCTGAAAGACCCCACATCCGGAATTATAATGCTTTAACGGCATTGCGTATATTTAACGTTGATTTTTTTTAATTGCTTACATTTTACTTTAATGTAGCGATGAAGAAATTGATAATATGTTTGTAGAAAAAAACACACATTTATTATCACGTTTAAGTTTAAAATACAAAATATATGACAAGCACTTAGTAAATTTAAATAGGAATGACCTAGGTACATTTTTGTGGATTCGCTATTTAAGTTTTGATTTAATGTTTTCTCTCGTCAAATGTATGTGTTAATCAAATATTAAATACTAACTTGTCTTTCGCACTTTACTCAGTAACCAAATAGTGTTTGTTCATCTCAAAGGTCCGTGGTTAAATAAATATAATAAAAAGGACTTAAAATAAAAGTTTGTTTGATAAACCATCTAATACAACTAAAATGAACAAAAAGGCTTTTTTGTCGATTAACGTATTGTAAATAATAAACAAAGTTTATGTTTAACTAAAACAGATGTGGGGTTAATAAAAGTATTTCTACGTTGTTGGGAGTCGACAAGAGCTTCTCGATGACCACATATCTTGTTTTTCAAAACAGACTGTGACATACTGAAAAAAATGAATCCCACTGATATCAATCAAATGCAGGAATATTCTGTGTTTTATGGGGAAAAAATTCATGCAGTCTATATAATTAACAATCAATTACGCGTAATGCTTAATTTCTGTCAATTGTTCTCAACTAATAACCACATTGAGATATTTTTGTAAAAAGTTATGTAAATTTTATTATCTACACGATATTTCGTTTTAGAAGTACATTTCATCGATTTGATGTTCAAGAAAATCACTGGAGTGAAGTAATATTACATTCACATCTTGGAAAATCAGTGCTAATTTTGTTTATAACACAAATAGATCGTATATGAATACAGGACAAGAAAGTTTAAGATTATTGTGGCATAACCATTTGATACATTCATCTCCAGATGTTTCTGTGGTAATGTTTATAGAATGATTATATGTGGTTATGATAGAATAAAAAATAAACATATTAGATGCAAATCCATCAAATTGAAAGTCAGTGTTGATTTATAGTTATGATATTTGTTCGAATTATTGCGTAGTGATTGATCTAAATATTAGTAATATTATTATTCGGATTGTATTTGATTGTCGATTGCGATTATGAGTGAACGGGATTTTTATTTCACGGCCTCGTGAGCAGGAAAATGGCCTATATGAGAGATTAATTGTAAAAAGTATAAACTACATTCCATGAGGATTATGATTTCATTCATTCAGGACTAAGGTCATTGTGATAAGGGATATTATCTAAGTGACATTTAATATAACATTTTTCACTTTCTATTGTAAGTATTATCATATGTTAATGGTAAAATTGATAGAAAATTGCATATCATTCTGTATTTTCACCAAATGGTGTAATTAATTTCTAATGTAAAGAAATTCTTTGCAATATGGAAATAGGACGAGGAAATCGAGTTAAGAATGAGACATAAGACTTAAGCATATGTTACATTGTTTTTAATCTCTACAAAGTTTAAATTTAATTAAATATCAAAATCATTACTAATTACAAATGTTTGAGTAGACAAAATTCTCTGAAAGAATTTAGATATTTTATCAAATATCAATGAAAAATACTCACAAAACCCATTTTAAAATCGATCCTACTGTTAAATATTTTTTTTCGTAGAAAACTTTCAATTTGTTTAGTTGTAGACTTACGCAATATTGAACAAGGTACATTGTGTAAACTCGCTTGTAAAAATTAATTCTAAGTTATACTTAAATGAACCAATACCTTTTATCGACAGGTATCAAAATAACAAAGAAGGTCTTTAATTTTCTGTTTAATTTTCTATCTAACGGAAGCTTTCTGTAACCTCTGGCCCCAATTTGTAAGCAGAGAAAGAATCGTTTACATTGTGTTACGTGTAGACCTTTGATCACAACCTGACCGCCCATTGCGTTGTGTATCTTCAGTGTTTGCATTGAATAGCGTTGATGGGGCGTATTATACCGCAGGCTTCGATCTGCACCTATGAAGCATTGTATCTATAATTACAGCGAGGTAATTAAAAGAATTCTGCCTTCGATTAACATTATACGTTTAAACTGTAACGAGACCGGACTGCCGTCTCTGAAATTAAGGTAATAAAATGACAGAAATCAATACTAAATTCATCATTTTCTCATCTTCGAATTTAAATATAACTGAATTTATCTTGATTTAAAAAAATACTATTTCGTAGGTGCAGTGTTGTAAATGTGTAGAAGGCGATAACTATTTATGCTATATATGGTTTATCGGCAAATTTATATTCATTTCATTACAGAACAGGGAAAGGCGAATCTGTTAAAAATACATTGAATTTGAATTAACTTGTAACTTTTGTTATTTTCAGATATAACCCCAAGAGATTCGGTGCTAAACGGTTTCTGTAATATTCCGTAGGATTAGTAAGCATGGAAATTAGTTAAGTGAGATGACACAAAATACGAATCAAAAATTTTACAAAATGTGATTTAAAAAAATGAAGAAACGTGTTGAATATAAGAGTTGGATAAAGAACTACCTCCTGTCGATATTGTTTACATTTGTTTTCTCTGGTAAGTATAAATATTACATAATTTGTCGAAATCATGAATTGAATCTTAAACAGTTGAGTAATTATTATCTCTTTCTTGTCAATCATAGCATAAAAGTCTTAAGCGATTATTTAGACTTAAATCTACTTGAAAGTAGTTGGGTATACCATAGCTTGGCGAAATATTTGCATAATTAACTTCATGGCATTTTAGTTAAATGTGTGAATAAAACACAATAAATTAAAAAAAACATATAGGAAATATACAATTTACATGTTTTAATCTTTTATTTATTTTCATTCCATTATCTGTAATTCTGACGACACTAAAATGTTATGGTACAAATGTAATGCATCGCTGTTTTTTTGTCTCCGTCTTGTCTTTCGAGACCCGTAACCGAAAGTCCTATGTTATCCGAGAAAAAATACATTCGGGCAATGTGACGGCATACATGTAACAGGAACATATATATTGATATACTGTTCCCAGATGTATACAAGAAAAACATTGATTAATATTTAAAATTTTACGAGTCATTTTTTTGCACAAAATATGTTTGGCTGAATTTCGCTCACAATCACATTTTCGAAAAGACCGTTGTTAAATCCCATTATTTTAGTTCTGAATAATTTTCACCTGTTATTAATGTGTATACTTGTGAACAAAGAATTAGGTATAATGTACTATTATACCTAGCAAGTAACTGACATCATTATGTATATATTTCTTTCCATCTTGTTCACCATTGTAAAATATATTTGTATGATTTGTCTGCCTCTTGTTACAATGTAAACTTCTAGAGAGTTAATAAAAGTTGAAAGTTGAAGTTAAGTATTTTAAACTATCAGAACCTGTTAGAGTGTAAAAAGGTACATTTTCAAAATCGTCAGATAAGTCCCACATATAAGCTGTTTTAAGAAGAGGCGAGCATTTATATGATACGATAGATTATAGTAATGCTTTTAATGTAGTTTGGGATTTTGTGGTGTGCAATAGCTATTTTACTTGGTTCAGACATACTCGGATTTATACTGTGCGTTATTATCTTTCTTTGTTTATCTTTTGGATATTCCAAGGATCAAGATGAGTCCGAGGATGCTTGGTTACTCACAAAAATGAGTTGATATCCATATAATACCATGTCATAGATTGTCATCGTTTTTCTCCATTAAAGGAATTTATGACTCTGTGTAGCCTCTGTATTTACCATTCACAGCTTGTCTAGACTAGGGGCCATTTAGAGTTGATATATTGTATGTACCCTGTCTATCATTAAAGGCAGTTTGTCGACCTCTAGAGTGGCCTATTTTTGGTTTAATTTTTTTTATTGGCGTTTAAACTACATCTCATCTGATTCATTTTTATTAACTTCATTGACCGCATCATTATTCATTAAAAAAGCCATTTGGAATGATTTTCAACAACACGGTACTTATCGATATTTTTCTAATTCTCTTTCTCAGCATCAATAATCAAAACGGTATCTTTGGTTCTATCTAATACCAAAGTTTCCATCCGACCTTGCCTGACGCAAGAAGATAAATCTTTTTCGATACATTTACTTTTAACGACAAAATTATTTTCATCCTCTTAACAACAATATGGAGACTCTTATTATAGAAACATTTCCTTGATTGTTGGTTGCTTAACGTCCAGTAGCCAATATTTATGCGTGATTAGGACGAATATTTTCCTGATTATTTATATATATATTTTATATTATCTGAAATGAACATTTTAATGATATCGATACTTATTTGTACTTAATTCTATGAACTCATTGTGTTTAAATAGTTATCCTTGAATTATTTTCAGGTATCATATATGTGGATATCAAATACACGAATACAATAAATGTCTTATATATTTTACAAGTATAAAATTTTCTGTTTGGAACTTCTTTTCACTGCGACTTGAATATTTGTATGATTTAAACAATCTACTATTTAAAACTTTTAGATAAATACTGAAGAAACAGTTGCTAAATAAAAGTTAGAATAATACCATGATAGACCAAAAGACAGTTTTTGGTGTGTAGTAATATTTATCTTTGACTCGCAAAACATTGACATGAAGGATTAAAATATCCCAAGAGGGGGAAGTAGGTTGATTGTTGCAAGGCAAAAATTCTGGTCATACCAAAATGCCCTCATTTTCCAGCGGCAGTCAAAATTCACCTACTATATCTGAGTGTTTTTTTTCCCGAACACACTACATTAGTTCATTGAACATAAGTTTCCGTCTTGATAATGAATGCAATATTTACCACTATCATGTGACAACCAATCAGAAAAAGCGAACAGATTAAAATACTTTTTTTAGTATATCTTGAAATTTCTTTTCATAAAGAGAGTTAATAGTTGATATTTAAGGGGAAATCTGATTTTCGTTGATTTTTTTTAAATAATGTGCTCAGTGGACAAAAGGTGATGTGGGATTTCCACAATGAAACAGCAACCTAACGAAACAGGTATATCCAGGTAAACATACGGCCATCAACAACCGACCGGTGTCTATATAATACATTCCCGACTTGGGACACGAATACATACATTGTATATGTGACGGGCTGTTTTCCCCTCTAGATCTCCACCTTCACTGAAATATATATGCGAATCTGGCATATGTGCGAAGTGTGTTTTATTATTAACATCGGAGTCCAGGAATAAAAAGACAGGCTGAGCCCCCATGACCTAAAGAAAGAAAAAAAAAAACCAATTATTACACTAATGTTTTATTTCATGTATTTCATGATCTAATATGCTAAATGAAATATAGATCAAAAGTAATGGAAATTGAATCGCTTAAACCATATCTGTAAAAACTATGATGGTAGATCAAAGCTTAATTGATTGTAATGGCTTGTCCTTAATCAAAGTACTGAAGTACTGAACATCGGATGACCGCAAGTTCTTTTGGATAGTCAAAAGCACTTGTCACAGAAAAAGATCCAGCTCTATACCTGAAACTGAGGCTAATGTACAGAGATATATTTTTGTTCTATTACAATTTCGTGCGTGGATGATGAATAAATGACAGGAAATTCAACCTCACCGTAATAACTATTATATTGTAGTGATACAAATCAGTATACACTGGTCTGTTTTTATATATTATATTAATATAACAGTTAATTGTATATATAATTTTCATCCATTTGTATATCATTCTATTCTACTATTCTAATAATAGTGCAGTGCAAGTGCATGGTGGACACTCTTCTGTAAAAATTCGATTTTTCTAAAAGATTGGATATGAGTAGGCATTCATATTTTCCCGCAAAAAAACAATCTTCTATGCAGAGTTACCGGTTCTTGCCGGGATTGTCGCAAAACGTTCTTGAGATATTCTTCCGCATGCTTCAACACAATTCTTCGGTACGTGTGCATAGATATTATCAATGTTTTTTACTTATATATATATATATATCTAACGACAAAACATTTTCATGTTATTAATCTATGTTCTAAACAAAAATGTTTTTATCAGTACTCATTGAAGAGATGTATTTATAGCAAACGATAAGGAATGTTATTTTGCACTCGTTAATATCCGCGTATTTATCATGTTCATAGATCAGTTAAAAAAACTCAAAACGAATGTTACGCAATGGAAATCTAGGCGATAGCAATACATCGGAATGCCCTCACGGTCATCGCGATGTAAAAAGAAATAGGATTAAATATTTGAACTATAATACTATAATGTACATATAAATAATGGTCATTTGTTTAGCTTATCAGTTTAAGGACAATTTAAGCATTATTCTGTTTATTTTTAATTAAACATAAATTATGTTGTATAAATTTCAATCTGTCGATTCAATATTTATTAATTCAAATAAAAGTTATTAAGAAAAACTGTTAACTTATCAAAACTAAATCTAGCTTTCTTTCTGATATGCCTTACTTATATCATGGGGGTATTATATAGAACTCATATTACTTCCATGCTTATACCGACTAAAAGATAATCTGTAAGATTGAAGTAATCTTTTTGTTAAAGTAATACCTTTATCATACGAGAGGTGTTCATGAACTTATACGATCTAGTACCAACGGATTGGCGAAATTTGAATATGAATATACAAATCTGTAGATAGATTTATCATTATTCCCAAATGTGTTTAGTTATTATCTATTTTTTTGAAGAAATTATATGTTTAAGTTGTTGATAAAAGCAAAGCAGACATCGATAAAATTGTATATTTATGACTCGCACAACTTAAGTATAATTTAGATGATTATATCTTTTACCAGGAAAGAGTTTTGTTGACGTTCCTTCGCTTAATTATAAAAAAAATATTCAATACTACTTGGGTTATTTAGCAAAATAATATTATTCCGACCGCACGTAAAAAAACTCTAGCGTAGATATAAAATAAGAAAATTGTACAGGAAATCTATCTAGGTGTTAATTTAATAGAGTGGATGGTAGACAAATCAATTGACTTATAGATACTATAATAGTTGATGACAAGTACTATTTATCATTATTACCTAGAGACTTCTTAATCCATTTACATCCATAGCTTGACATCTATCTTTGTCGGATTTATATAAGTTTATTGCTAGTCACTTTATTGGAGAGGGTTACATCTGTGAAAATTGTCATTATACAAAATGGTTAGGCCAGAAAAAAAGTAGTTGCTTTCTCTATCCCTACCTTCCCTAAATTTTCATGCTCTCACTAAGACATGTTTGTGGACATTTTTGGTTAAGCACCGTCTTAAGTCCGTTAATTTTTAGCGAATACCGTTAAAATCTATTCCTATACAGTTTATGTAAAATATTGAAAAAAAATCATTTTACTTACCTACTTACTTACTTTATTTTTTTTTGCGAGGAGGCAGGACACAATTCAATATATAGTTTGACCTTATATATCAAAATATACATGTATTATAGTCTTTTTCCCCTTACTGTCAGTTACTATTCTGTTCCATCCAAGTATTTGATCAGTTTTCTCTGACGGTTGTCACTATAAAAAAATCCCTCAAAGACTTTGACCAAGTTTCATTG